AAGTTAATTTCTTCTCTAATCAAATATCACAAAGTTTATTTACAACACATATATGTTTAATTATGAATATATATTCTGTAGGAAAGCATTAAATTAAGCTGGTAAATTATCCCAACAACACTCAGTAAAGAATTGAGGTACGTTTCCCAAAACTACTAAATAAATTTATTAAATATTACCCTCACTAAAGAAAGAAAAGAAATAAAAAATGATAAAAAAAATTAATATAAATTAAGAGAAAATAATTATATACGGGATTATGAATTCATTGTTAGAGATAAATTTATTATCATTACGAAAATATAAAATTCGAAGACAACAACAAGGACAACGATAAGGATAGTTTGTTATTTATTAAATGATTGATTCACAATACATGAAGTTAAGAAATTATAACGTTATTTATACATGTTAAAGGTTCTATCATCTAGTTCTCTGATTTCTTGAAATCCTAATTTATTCTAATTAAATGTATTCCTTAAACCTTCTGTGTAGAATTATTTCTAAAGTGATCAAATCATTTAAACTCTTTGTTAAATTAATTCCGAGAATTAAAGGTCTGTTACATTTTAGAATGCTGGATATTTTGAAATATTTTCCGTGATCCATAAAATTACTATTTTACAATATACAGTCTACTCTCTCTATAACGACCACTAGGTAAAAATTTCTCTATAACGAACTTCCCTTTTGTCCCGTTTCAATTTTTTATAATTAATTTCTCTCTCTATAACGACCATCTTAATAAACTCTCTCTATAATGACCAAAAGCAGAGAAATTACATATAGGAACAGAGGGTTCGTTATAGAGAGAGTGAACTGTATTATTAAAGTATATCAACCAATGATCACACTAAAAAAAATTGCTTTCAATTTTATTATAAATTGTAAATAAATTCATATATATTATATAGAATTTTGCAAGAATTAACATAATATTCATCCAAGCCTATGAAACCTTTTCTATCATAAAATTTTAGATACTTATTTCTTAGGTAACTAGCAAAATATTACAATTTAACAAATTTTATTTTTTGCAATGTCACCATCTCTAAAATTTTTTGCAAATGAGTAAAAAATTTTTTTTGTGGGTAAATTTATAGGGATTATTCTAATGGACAACGTACGACTAGGGTTGTATTCATGGATACCATAAGGAGGTCACACAGGGTTACACACTATTAAAATCAAGTGTTTTAAGGGATTTTTTGCTGATTTATTAGTGTGTAACCCCCTTAACGGTATTCATGGTATCCATGAATACAAACCCTACATACGATGCACTTTGTACACTCAGTCATCAGTTCCTCCTATATAGTATATAAAAACAAAAATTAATATTTTCATCTTAAAATATAATTGTATTTTATATTATATATACCCTATATTCTTCATCTGGAGAATAGCTTGCTGGACTTGATTGATTATTAGGATCCAAGTAGCCAGGGGTTAAACCAATTGCATTTGAATCATTTCTGCTATCATCATTTCTTATCTGTATTAGTGTTCCATGTCGCAATCCAAAAAAGGAAACAAAATGGTTGTAAAGGTGGTTGCAACCAGTGGTTGCAATCG